GATATAGTATTCTTGGCTGCATATTTTTCTCATTTAGTGCTCTGAATATATCCTGCCAGTCCTTTCTGGCCTGCCAGGTCTCTGTGGATAGGTCTGCTGCCATATATCCCAATTTTTTATCAGAGTCACACTGTAGAGGTTGCCCCAGTTAATCTGTTAGAAATGGGGGTACATATGCTGAGCTTAGTTCAGAGAGGGAAACAGTACATCTGTAGGGGGATAATTCAGTGTTGGTATTGCATGCTCAGTGTTACTGATAAAATATGTACCTTTAAAGTTGATTTAAAAAAATAGCTGTGCTGCCATTTTTAAAGTGCATAATTTTGTTTCTGATAGCTACAACACAAGATAATCTTGATGATAAGTTAAGGAAGTTTGAAATACGTGACATGATGGGATTGACAGATGACAGAGATATATCAGAAACAGTGAGTGAGACCTGGAGTACAGATGTCTTGGGAAGTGATTTCGACCCTAACATTGATGAAGATCGCTTACAAGAAATTGCAGGTAACTGCTGTTTAATTTCTCTGGAAGATTGCTGTTTAGTTATTCATATCTACCTGCCCTTCATGGGCGGGGACTTCAGCCTCAGACAGACAGACCTAGGAAGCTGAGATAACTGTATGTAACAAGGCATTTGTGTCTTTTTTTCTTTACCGAAATATAGGTAGCGTTTTTCCCTGTCTGCATTTAACTCCCCCTCCCCTGCCAAAAAAGAAAAACCAGTCTTCTGAATTAGCTTCTTGTTTTCAGGGCATAGTATATATTCTGAGGATATTCTTTTTGAGACTGCACACCTTACCTGAAAATGAAAATTCTTATAGATTATAGCCATAAAATCTTTCAGAATAATACAATACTGAGATTCTCTAAAAATTGAATTTAATAGGGCGCCTGGCTGACTCACTCAGTAGAGTATGCAACTCTTGATCTCAGGGTTGTGAGTTGAAGCCCCATGTTGGGTGTAGAGCTTACTTAAGGAGAAAAAAAAAAAAAAGGAATTTCTTCTGGAAGGATTAGTTCATTTCCAAAGAGTGATTAGTTTTTTCTTTTTTTTTTTAAGATTTTATTTATTTATTTGACAGAGAGATAGAGAGAGAACACAAGTAGGCAGAGAAGCAGGCAGAGGGAGAGGGAGAAGCAGGCTCCCCGCAGAGCAGGGAGCCCGATGCGGAACTCGATCCCAGGACCCTGGGATCATGACCTGAGCCGAAGGCAGCCGCTTAACCGACTGAGCCACCCAGGCGCCCTCTTTTTTTTTTTTAAATATCAATTTTATTGAGATACTATTTACATACTTTAAAATTCACCCTCTTTAGGATACTGTTCTGTGAGTTCTGAAAGATTTCATACAGTCCTATAAGCAGCATCTTCATTTTCTCTTTAAATCATGGAGCGTTTCAGGCAAATACAAGAGGGAAGAACGTACTCTGTGTATCAGTCATTCAGCTTCAACTATTACACATGCACACGTGGCCAGTTTTGTCTCATCTGTTCTCCCACTCCTTTTACCCTGTCTCCCCCTGTTATGTTTAGGCAAATTCCAGACGTTATTTTATTTGTAATTATTTTATATATCTTTAAAAGGTAACTTTCACCAGTAACCTTTTGCCAAAAGTTTTTTATGCACTGCAGTAGAATTGTTCTTTTGTTAGGCGTTATCAGACAGACGTCATGGAGCATCCTGAACTTGAGTATTTGTAACACGGGTGTATAATAATGTTTAATCCTTTCTATTTGTATTTTTAAGTAGTGTAAACAGATTTCTTAATTGGTTTTGCATTACTTTGTTTCAGGGGCCAAAGTAGTATTCTTCTTGGCAGAGAGCTCTGTTTGAGCAGTGAGCTGTATTTGCAGTTGAATGCATGCTACAGAGATGTGTATTTTCCTGCAAATATATTTTATTGCTCTGAATATGTGGCTAATGTGCCAGAAGAGAACATATTTGGCCAGTATAACTTTCTGTGGTTTAGTGTCTCCATTTGAGTGTTTTTAATCCCTCTGAGGATTATACCTTTTAGGAATTTTGGGGCACATGTAAAAATGTGCTACAAAACCAAGATGAACGATAGTTGAAATGACTTGACCTAATGATGGATGTTTTCTCTATGGAGAGTCCAAGGTGAACAGGAGGAAACTGAGAAAAAGGAGCTTTTGCCATTGTGACCAAAGTCGGAAATTTGTGTTTTTAGTGGTGCTGTTGATTGAAATTACACTTACCTTGGCTTCCTTCTTGTGGATAGAGTAGAGATGACAGTTAGTTCAGTGTTTGGCCCTTCTCCGTTATCACTGCTCTTTACATCAGGATCTTCGTTAACCCTTTGCTCCCCACTGGTTATACAGGTGCAGCAGCAGAGAACATGTTAGGCAGTTTACTGTGCCTGCCAGGTTCAGGGTCAGTGCTTCTTGACCCCTGCACTGGTTCTACCATATCAGAGACAACAAGCGAAGCTTGGAGTGTAGAGGTATTGCCAAGTGACTCAGGTCAGTATGCCGTCATTGTTTGCTTTTTGATTTGCACAGAAGTTTTAAATGTAAGGTATCTTAATTCCTATACTATGTACATTTTGTCAAGTGTGACACAACCATATTACTAAGAATTTCAGATGGACAGTTAGGGCATTTTCTGCCCATCAGGAAGAAATGCAGTTGGATGACATGGGCTAAGATGGCAGGTGCTTTTTGGCTCTGTGTTCAGGTATTTGTAAGTATTTGTTAGCAACTCACCAGAGTTCTGTGTGTGACACTGAGGTTGGTATCTCCCACTAACTCATCACAAAATAGGAATAGCAGTACAACTTGAACCCTGAGCGGTTGGATGCGTGGCAAGCGTGCCCAGGTTCATCCCAGGGAGAACTTGACCCTTTAAAAGAGATCTAATTTTGAAATGTACTGAAATTGAGACTCTGGAGTCCTGAGAATTATTTTGTGTAGGATTATTACAAATATATATAAAGTGTTTTGTACTTTCTCTTTTCTCAAATACTGCATTTCTTTTTTTTTTCTGATTATGAAGATAAAACTTTGTTTTCAATTCAATGTCAACTACCAGAATGCAAATTTAAGTAACTGTATATCTGAATTACATTCTATCTGATCTACTGGGCTCAAGAATAATTAAGTGATTCTGATATGTTTTATAATATTAATGCACTCAGACATGCTGACCTTTACATAAGGAGACAGTAGCATTAGCGTACTATCTATTGAGTGTTCGTAGGAGTTATTTTTTAGAAAATGTTTGGTTTAATGTTAAGCTATTCTGTATTCTCTTGTTGAGTTTACTTCTTAACCAACAGCATATTTTATGAGATTAGTGATCTACAGGCAGAGTTTTCACCTTTGCACAACAAACTGGCCTATATTGGAATGAAAATCACAACCTAAGCTTCTTTAACACTCGATCTAACTAACTTTGCTAACTGGCCCAGACTTAGAAATCTGTTTACAGTGATGTCATTTACGCTCTGGTAGCTTTCCTCATGTGGGTCACAAGCTGAACCTGCGGCATGCTAACAGAATCACTCACGTGGCACCTCCTGTCTTCTGTTTAGAGGCCCCGGATCTAAAGCAGGAGGAGCGTCTACAAGAGCTGGAGAGCTGTTCGGGACTAGGTAGCACATCTGATGATACGGATGTCAGGGAGGTCAGTTCCCGCCCCAGCACACCAGGCCTCAGTGTTGTGTCGGGTATGTCGGTCTTGTTTTAAGGAATAAGGATTGCAGGGTGTGGTCCCACCTCTTCGTTTATTAAGTTGATAACAGAGATGTGTTGTATTTAAGAGTTGAGGAATTTCCAGGAAACAAAATTATTTCCGTGGGACCTTAAATCTATGAGAACTTAACATGTGGCTTTCTAGAGCCTGTTGAAGTAATTGGCAAACAGTCTGTGCGTTCCCTCTCTAATTCCATCTGTTCTTAGTGGCCTCTGCTACTGTATTTAGATACCACATGATACTTGCGATTATGTTGTACAAATCAAGGTAAGCATATTTAGGCAGTAGTACAATAAAGGATGTGATAACCAAACATCTCACACGTATAGCACTTGGGACATAAAAATTTTGAGAATATTTACATTTCTCCAAACTTCATATACTTTTTGTGTGGTTATTTTGTTCTTCTTGCTGTTTATTTTTTGCTTTTTTTTTTTTTTTTTTTTAAGGCATTAGTGCAACCTCTGAGGATATTCCCAATAAGATTGAAGACCTGAGATCTGAGTGCAGCTCTGATTTTGGGGGTAAAGATTCTGTCACTAGTCCAGACATGGATGAAGTAACTCATGGTAAGAAAGGGAAAGGAGAATGACTTAAAAATGATCACATTCACAGGTGAAACTGGCAGTCTTATACTTTTGCTGGTGATAATATCAGTTGATAGAGCACTTCGGGGCATAATTTGGCAGTACATACGTAAGGCCTTGAAAATTCACAAACCAGGGGCGCCTGGGTGGCTCAGTTGGTTAAGCGTCCGATTCTTGGTCTCAGCTCAGGTCTTTTTCTCAGGGTCGTGAGTTCAGGCCCTGCGTTGGGCTCCACACTGGGCGTGGAGCCTACTTAAAAAAGAAAAAAAGAAAAGAAAATTCACAAACTAAATTTGGTTCAGTTAGTCCACTTTAGGAATTAGTCATCAGGAAGCCATTCCATGTATGCAGAAAGTCTTATGTTCTTCATAACATTTATATTGGCAGAAAATGAGAAACAACCTAAGGGTTGAAAAATAGAATTGCTAAGTGAATTTTGATGCACCGACTCATAATTTATGCAGCTGGGTTTTGTTTTTGTTTTTGTTTTGTGGCTGTTTTTTTAAAATCTTTAAACGTATGAAATAGCTTCAAACTCTAGAAATACTAGAACATAGTATCTCTTGGGAAATTTATCCTGAAGAATTTCATGTGTAAGATAATAAAACATTAAAAAAACTACCATAGAGAAAGCACAGGAAAGAAATACCAAAATGCTAGCAGTGGTTTTATGTACTAGGGTTTTAGATACTTTTTCTTTCTTACAAAAAATGTCTTTTGTTCTAAACCTAGATTTCTCATCCTCAACACTATTAACATTTTGGGCCAGGTAGTTCTTTGTTATGGAGACCTGTTCTGTGCATTATAGGATGTTTAGTGACATCTCTGGCCTCTCCCAGGAACACAGCACCCCCTTCTTCCCCTGCGGTTGTGACAACCAAAAATGTCTCCAGATACTGCCAAATGATCCCTTGGGGAACAGATAGCCCCATTTGAGAACCACTGTTCTAAATAAGCAATTTTCAGAGTATAGTCTCCATGGACCACTGAGGACCCTTAAGACCCTTTTGGGGAGTGAGGGGTAATGAGGTCAAAACTGTTTTCATAATAGTAAAAGGTTGTCTTTTTTACTATATTGACATTTGCACTGATGGTGCATAAGCAAAGGTGGGTGAATTTGCCAGGGTGGGCCTTAGCATGAAGCAAAGCAGTGGCACTGAACAGTTAGCGGGCACTATATTCTCTCGCAGTTAAAAAAGAAATCTTTCATGAAGCAGTAAAAGTTATTTAATTACATCTCAACCCTGAATTACACATCTGTTCAAAATTCTGAAGAAATAGGAAATACTCCTAATGCGTGGTGGTGAAGTATCTCAAGGAAAAACACTTAGCTGGTTATTGGAGCTGTGAGCTTAACTAGCTGTTTCTTCTCTTGTTTGTTTTTCATGACACACCATTTTTACTTGCAAAAATGACTGACAAACTGTAGTTATTCATATTTGGGTATTTGGCAGGCATTTATTGAAAATTAACAAAGTGAGCTTACCACTTCAAGGAAAACAACCGACAGAGTAGAGTTTGTTGCCAGTGATAAAATTCAGGCTTTCAGATAAAAATGAGAATTTCGGAAAACTTGTATCCACCTTCATGAGCTTGACAGCTTTCTGATATTTAAAGACTTTTCTGATGAGATTGGTGGTTTTTCTGATGAGCATGTGATTTTTTGATATTATATATTGAAATGTGTCAACATGTGGAAGATCTGCATATCTCATTGAACCAGTATTTTCTAGGTGATCAATGCATGATGTTTTTTGTTTTTTGTTTTAAAGATTTTATTTATTTATTTGAGAGAGCGAGAATGAGAGAGAGAGAG